AACACTCTGTTAGGGGTTTAGAGATTCACAGACAGGCTCTCAGAGGGCTTTTATTTTCCTTTACAAGGGCTGTAAAAAAGACTTCTGGAAGTAGTTGTGGCTTCATTAGTCCTTATCCAAAACCTAATACTTCCAGCCTTCTTGTTTATATACAAATGAAATAGAGGAATGATTTCATAGGAAAGGAAGGTAGAGGAGGAGACCCAACTGATAATTGATGTTGTCAGAAGTTTAGCTTCTTCTAATCTGAATTTGGCCATCATAAGCTTAGAATGGTGCTTCTTTGTTAAGATGAGTAACGATGTGTTGGTGTCTGGGACAGAGGCTGACATCAGGATTTTTGCATCAGGATGACATTATACATATAAGTCTGTGTAGCATGTTGAACTGATTAACTGGATAAACTGAGTTAGTAGATGTACTAGAGAGTGACCTGTATGATGGCAGGTGTCCTGAATACTGAGTCACCAGATAAGAACAGAGGTCAGTATTGTATATGAAGCAACAAAGGTATAGGGGTTCCCAAAAAGTAGAACTCCTGAAGTACAGCTCAATAGAACTCCCATCTGAGTCATGGCACTATTACAAAATGGTTCAGGTTTGCAGCTTTAGAGCAGGAGGCATTAAGGTGGATTGCCTTTTTCAATGAGAGATGTTTACATAAGATTCTTAATGCCATAGACAGACAGCAGAAATGGACATTCTGATGAGAGTTCAGGCCTCTATTTAAGTGTAATAGGTTTCTTAATTTTATTCTTAGATTGCTCATGGCTATTGCATGGAAATAACCGTTGATTTTTGTATATTTATCTTTTATCCTATAGCATTGCTGAACTTGTTTGTTACACTTTTTTGATGGATTTCTTAGAATTACCTACATATATAATTACATGACTTGTAAATAGAGTTACTGTTATTTCTTCCATTCAATCTGAATTCCATTAATTAATTAATTATCCAATTGCTTGGTATAGAGTCCCCAGTACAATACTGAATGTACATAATAAGAGCAGATATCCTTATCTTCTTGATCTTCTTGATTACATAGCAAAACATTCAGTTTTTCACAATTAAGAATTATATTATCTATAGATTTTCATAAATTTCCATTATCACTTGGAGGAAGTTGCCCTTTTCATGTTTTATTGAATTTTGCAAATTACATACAATCTATTTTAACCTTATTTAGAACCCCTCTCCTATCTGCACTCCATTTCCCCTGATTTCATTGTCTCTCTCTGTCTCTCTCTGTCTCTCTGTCTGTCTGTCTGTCTCGCTCTCTCTCTATATATACATATATAATATATATGTAGATGTAGATGGATAGATGGATAGATGGATGATAGACAGATGAAGCCCGTGGAGTCAAACATGTTTGCCCACAAGCCCTTTGTGGTGGGTCCATCCACTGGAGCCTGGTCAACCTATCTAGTGCCATACCCTTAAAGAAACTGACCTTCCCTCTCCCAGCAGCTACCCAAGGCTGGGTCCTCCTACCCACCTCCACAGTTCAATACTGTGATTATGTCTGACTTGAGTTTCTTTGGGCCTTGTGCATGCTGTCATCATTGCTGTGAGTTCATATGACCAACTGTCCAGCTGTCTAGAAAACTCTGTTTCTTTGTGGTTATCCACTGCCTCTGGCTTTTACAATCTTTCCATCACCTCTTACACAATGATCCTTGGAAGGCCAAGGTTTGATATAGCTATCCTATTCAGGGATAAGCTCTCTTCAGTCTTTTCTATTTGTTTTTTGTTCATTCATTTTTTAAATCATGAATGAGTGTATGATTATTTCAAAGACTTTCTGTTTTGATTGAGATGATCTTGTATTTTATACCCTTCCTTTTAATATTATGTTCTTTTGCATTAATTTTTATATATTAAACTAGTGATATATTTCAGAGATTAGTACCATTCAATGAGGTATATTTTTTAAATATGTTGCTAACATTCTGTTGAGCTGTCTGAATTTCTATGTTTTCAGGGTTTTGCCAAAAATGAATAATGATTCTTTAAATATTTGGCAGAACTCACCCAATAGTCAAACTGTCAGCCCCTGACCCCTGCCCCCATGTGAGTAGTTTTTCATTACTCAGCTTCTTTACTTCTTACTGCTCTATTTAGATCTTATGTTTGTTCTTAAGAAAGCTTTTGGCTTGTGTATTTCTAAGAATTTAACCATTTGATAATTTTACATAGTATTTTAGGATACAATGTTTATAATGTTCCATTTTAATTATTTTCTGTGAGTTTGTAGTGATATTTCCCCTTTTATCACTGTTTCTGAAAATCTCAATATTCTAATATTCCTTATTCTCTATTTTAACTTTTTACAATGAATCTATCTCCTTGTATGAATTGCATAACTTAAAAATAAGAAAGAAAAAATATGACACAAATACTTAGGATATCAAAGATATCCTAAGCACTAGCACTATCTGTAGGTATCAGCTTCTTTACCAGAAAGTTGAGAGCTTGAGTCATTAGTACTTAAGTTTTGAAAACCTATGGGTTATATCATTTCTGTGTTCTAGCATAGGTTTAAGGGGTATAAATGGTAATCTGTGGGCAGAAGAAGAGCAATCTGAGAAAATCCTAGTATTTCTTAAGGGAATAGTAGGTGGTAAAGGTGAAAATACAGGTTGGAGTCAGATAATGATATTTTTTAATGTCAGTATGAAGGATTTGGACTTGGTTAATAGGCAGTGTGAAGCAACTCAGGGCTTTAGGGTTTGAGGCTAGTCAATCAAATTGATTGTCAAGGAAACTGATCTGGTAATGGCATGTGGGATGGACTGGAGCTAGGAGCTTACCCAGGAATTTGTTCTAGCATAAAAAGATGAAAGCAGTAACAAAGGGAATGGAAAAGGGAGACACAAAGGACTAAACATTGTCTGTGATTTGGACTGACCTTCCTAGGTCTTTAATCTCATCATTCTGGAGACAGATGGCAAATGGATCTTACTCAGTGAGATAGAGGCCAGCCTGATCTTCACAGTGAGTTCCAGGCCAGCTGTGGTACAAGGAAACCCTGTTTCAAAAAGACCAAAAACAGAGGAGGAGGAAGAGGAAGAGGGGGGGAGGGGGAGGAGGGAAAATAAAATAAAAAATAAAAGGGTGTCTTGTTCATCCATACCTCCCTTACAGTTATTTTGTAATTAGTCACAGAATATATCCAATGTAAATATTTGTTAAATTGAATTGCATTAACTCAGCCTTGCTACAGAATTTAATGAAGGGAAATCATCCTTTAAGTGCTTTCAAGGACTTCTAGAAAAGCCTTCCAATATGACAAATTCTGGGAATTTTCTATCTTCTTAATTGTCACCGAGGAGCCTGTGTGTTCTAATTGCAGCATCATTGAAAAACACTTGTGAAAAGATACGCATTATCATACTCAAGGTTGTGTTTTGTATTTAGGCTTTTTTGTTGTTGGTGGTTGTGGTGATTGTGGTATTTTTTGTTTATTTTGTTTTGGTTTGGGTTTTTTTTTTTTTTCGTACAGGAGTGTGATAAGGTTAATATGGCATTCTGGAATGAAGTTTTACCCAATGAAAATATCTGCTGTGATGACCTGTGTGGTTTCATTCTGGTGTACTGGTAGACTAGGGGAGTAGAAAAAGAAAGTTCTCAAGAGCAGGGGACTTAAAGCTTAGACCAGCAAGTCATATCATCAGGTCCAGAAGATCTTTTCTGAGATCCTTCAATCAGGCACACAATAATTTTGGCCTTACACAGCATCTTTTTCTAGGCTGAGAAGGGACCAGTTAATAGTTATTAAGGAATGAGGTTTTCAGTATTATAAATACAATTGTATCTACAAATCACTTTGTAGATGTCACTTTTTAAAAAAAAATGTCCATTCATTTGAATAATTGTATCAAAAGTAGCTTAACTTAGGGGACCAAAGACACACAGTGACCTTTTGGTTATAGATTTCCAATAGCGCATATGTATGCGAAGGATGTTATGTTCTAGGTGGAGGTAAGGTTTGCTCATTTAGCTGTATATACAAAATTAATCAATAGAGTGACCTCTATTTGCTTTTGCCTACAACAAGTAAGTAGACTATATTCTGGTGATATTGCTAGATTCTCTGGGTAATAATCCTATTTCCAACCCTTTAGGAAGGAAAATGAGAAGGAACAATACAGAGCTTGGAAGTAGCTACTATTGCTCTATCTCTGCCTCAAAACATCTACCATCCTAAAACTACTCACCAGTAGACTATACTGGTACATGTAAATAGCTTTTTCTAAACTTGAGATAAGAATGTAGAAGGTTGGAGAGTAAACAGAGTAAACATACAGAATTGATTAAAGCTGTTATGGTAATTACCAAGCTCCTTTGCTAATTGCCCCTGACGGATTTTGCCACTCTTCTTGGCAAGCCCACGCATCTTTGTTTCCTTCTCTTCGTGGATTTTCTTATTCCTAGTACTGGGATGAAATGAGCCATTTTCTTGATTGAAGCTAAGTCACCAACAACCCTGACAATTCACTCAGCTTCCCCAAAGATTTTCTTCAACTTTTCTTTAACTTTTACCATCCCTTTCCCAACCCCGAGGAGGTATTTTTGCATGTCTTAGCAGTTTTACAGTCAAAATAGACCTTTTGATATGTCAATACCAAAAGTTCTGTTTCTGAGATACCTACTCTTATATCCAACTAAAAGTGTTTCAGCAGAAAGAAGTTGTGTTTGCTATCACTTTTCTCTCCTCTGAGGCATTCTTGGACAAGAAGCCTCTTAGAAATGATTTAGTTATGCCCCTTATATTTGATTTCACAGATAGGTCACAAGAGACTTAGAGATGACTTGACCCATGCTTAGGGCCAGAAAGTTACCCGAGACCCAGGTCTAGAACTCTGTTTTCAGAAGCTTCTGATACAAGACTCTGTGAAAACCTAGAAGTTCTCATTTATCCTTTTTGAACTTGACTGGAAATTCCTCAAAAAAGGTTAACCCATTATTATTATTTTTTTTGCCTGCTTCCACAGCTCTGGGTGAACCAGGAGGATGGGGTGGAGGAAGGGCCCAGTGATGTGCAGAATGGGCACCTGGACCCCAACTCAGACTGCCTCTGTCTAGGCCGGCCTCTACAGAACCGGGATCAGATGCGTGCCAATGTCATCAATGAGATCATGAGCACTGAGCGTCATTACATCAAGCACCTCAAGGATATTTGTGAGGTAGCCATGGTGGTGCATGTCGGGGCATGCAGGGTGGGTTACAGGGCACATACAGAAAGAACTGATAGTCCTCAAGGGCCTGCTTGTGGCAGTCCTAAGATGTTGGAAAAGGGAGGTGTACTGACTTATCAGATTCCCTTTCAGTGGGATGGAACTGTTACCTATGATTTCTAAGTGTCTCCTCTTCTTTGTTTTATTTGGTTTTGTTACTAATGTATTTATTCATATTTACTTTCTCTCCTTGTACCTCCTACCTCCTTGTCTGTTCCTTCTCTCTCTCCCTTCTTTCCTCACCTGACCCTTAACTTTATGGTTTCAGATCCAGTTTACCCATGTAAAGGTCTCACCTACCTTTAGTAAATTTTATCTCCCCCAAGCCAGTAATTAACAAACTTCAATTTATAGGAGAATCCCTAAAGATAGCTTGTTAAGCATGCAAATCTCTAGGCCATCACTCCTCCCATCCAACTTGTGGATTATCAAGTTAGGATAAGATATGAGTGTCTTTAAGTTTCAAGAGCATTCCTGTTGATGCTAATGTGCTTGGTCCTCCTTCTTCATTTGGTGAACACTGGTTGTTGGTGTGAACAGAAAAGAAATCGAGAAAGGAATCAGTGGGAGATGAAGGCAAGATCAACAAACATCAGCTCTTTTACTATGACATTATTCTCTTTAGGACCTGTGTCTCTACATTTCCTAATTTCGTCTCTTCTTTTCTTTACACTAAGTGATTATGAGAGCCATTCTCCCTCAAATTCTCTTAAGCTTAGTGGAGGCAAGTTAACATATTCAAAGGGCTTATTACTAAACATTAAGAGAAAACCAGGGGGGAACCGAGAAAAGAACGTCTCTGGGATAAACACACACACATACACACACACACACCATACCACACATACACCCCCCCCACGCACACACTTTCTATTTTTCACCTAGGAAAAGCTTTTCACTGACTTTTTTTCTTCCTTCTTTCCAGAGGAGAAATCAGGTCCTACATTCCTTTTTCCAATCTGGGGCCTACTTTGAGGTTAGTGGTAGAGTTCTAACATTTTCAAGGTCCTTATTTCTCTAGAGCAATGCTGCCCAATAGAATTTTCAGCAGTGATAAAATGTTTTGTCTCCTCTCTCCAATAGACACCTATGGGAAGTCAAGCATTTGAAATATGGATGGTGTTACTGAAAAGTAACATTTAAAGTTTAACATAATTGATTTAAATTTAAATAATGCCATATTACTATTTAAAATCTCACCGGACAATACAGCTATGGACAGATCAAGGTCAAGCATTTGGGGTATAAAATTTCACCTCAACTCATTTTCTTACCTTATCTGGGAAGGTTAAAAGTTATTTTCTTTATGTCATGAGGCACTAAGAAAGTGTGGAAAGAGCAAGGACTCTAGAAACATAACTTAGTCACAAAATAGCTCAGTGACATTGAAGGTTACCCCTGTCCCCACTGACCTTCAGTTTTCCTAATTTCTCCATTGGGCTTTATTTTATACCTATTTTTAATGTTGCTAAGGGAATTATGTAAAGGCAATATTGTTTTTATTTCCACATGAATGATACTGAGGACTTTGAACTTATGCCTTTCTGCATGTTAGGCAAGTGCACTACCACTAAGCTATATTCTCAGAACATAAATATATTACTAAAATTATATATGTTCCAGGTATTTTAAAGAAGGTAGTTTTCCTTATTTTTCCTTTTGAAAATTATCTTTTCTCTTCACTCATCTAGCCACATCTCTCATTTTTTTCTCAAACATTTTTATTATAGACCACAAACATCTGTATCACCTGGTAACTTGTTAGAAATATAAAATCTTTGGCTCTATCTCAAACCTACTGAATAAGATTTAGTAATTTTAATAGTTTTCCTGTTTGCTTTTCAATAAATATTAAAATTTTAGAAGTAGTACTTCAAAATCATGACTAGATTATGTGTCATGGCATGTGTAATTAAACTAAGTGCAGTCTGATCTCCACTTGATAGCCAGACCATGCTATCATGACCAAAGATCATTTTACCCCTTTGCTCAAAATCTTCCAGTGGCTCATCATTTGTTTTTAAGTAAGAGCTAGGCCTCTTATTGCACACTTGGTTGTATGTGGTCAACTCCTCTTCACTGTTTTAATTTCATCTCTTGCTTTTTACCTGTTCTTATATCCCACCCCCACTGGCTTCTTGCTCTTCATTTAACATGCCAAACATGATCCTGAACAGGGAATTGAAATTATTTTTTTCTCTGCCTAAAATAACCCTCCTCCAAATACCTACATACATGCCTTACTTGGGTGCCTCAAGCTTTACTCAAATATTTTATTTAAAATTATAAACTTGCATTTTTTTCTCCCTTTTCCTGTTTTAGCTTTCTCCATTACACTTTTGACTATGGGAGATAATATATTTATGTATTCAGTTTTGTTTATAGTTTTTCTTCCTTACTATAATGTAAATTCTGGGGCTGGAGAGATGGCTCAGTGATAAAAGCACTGGTTGCTCTTGCAGAGGACCCAGATTCAAATCCCAACCACATGGGAGCTAACAACCATCCATAACTCAAGTTTCAGGGGCTCTCATGCCCTCTTCGGACCTCCTTGGGCATTGTACCTCATGACATGGATGCACTTACATACATTTAGGCGATACACTCATACACATAAAATAAAATAATATAATAAATAAAAATATTTAGAATGTAAATTCCATGAGGGGAAGTAGATTTTATTGTTGATTACTGTTGTTCTATCCATAGCACAGTGCCTGACATAGTAGATGCTCAAGTTTTGTAAAATCAGAAATAAATATAATCTTTCTCATGTCTATACTACTTTGATTTCCATTTTTCATGTCATTTTGTCTTCAAAGAGAGAAAATGTTATTTTCTATATCAACAGGTTTTCTCCAATAAAAAACATGTTTTTTTAGAGTTGCTAGTCTCTGGTCCTATAAGAGTCCTTCAGTCTTAGAAGTGTGGTCTATTTGTGCCCAACTTTCAAACACCATGACCTCTTCTGACAAAACACAAGACACAATGGATGTGTTCATCTGTCTAAAGGGGGAGTACTATGACCCTGATTTGAGGATTTGCCCAATGCAGCCAAACTGTTCAGAGCTTTTGTTGGAAACATATTTGAAACTGAATCTTTGTTTCACCCTGAAAGTATAGGTATCAAAGAGAGGTGGAGAAATCTGTGTTCAGCTGGACCATTGACAGTATTCTAGCTCTAGGTTGTGTTACTTATAAAACAAAACCTGTACATACCAAAACACTGTTAGAAAGAATGCAGGAGTTAGAATTGAAAATCTGAAGTTTAAGTACTATCTCCGTCACTGGCTAGAAAACTTCAGCAGGGCCTTTGCCACCCAAGACCTGATTCTCAATGTCTAAAATGAGTAGGTTGGAGTGCTTGCTCATTTTTTTCCTCCTCAAGACAGAGCCTCACTATGTAGCCTTGGCTGGGCTAGAACTCATTATGTAGACCAGGTTGGCCTCAAATTCACAGAGATCCATCCACCTGCTTCTCTGCCTCCTCGGTGCTAAGAATAAAGGTATGCACCATCGCACCTGGAATAGGTCTTGCTCTTTAAGTGATATCTGGCTCTACTGTTTCTAATTTTGTAATATATAGATATCTAGTGATATTCTATCACTAGAGAAACCTATGGTAGTGGGGCAGAACCTTTCAGCTTTTTCCTCCCTAGTGCTTATGGAACCATATCTTATTCAAGTGAGATTGTGTTACTATGACAATCTCCATTAAGGAAGAGCTCTAAATACTTGTCACTCTTTTACTTGAACAGAAAGTGGGAAATGCTATTCATTAAAGAAGAAAGTCACACTATCTAGTACAGATCTCATATCTTCTAACTAGATCTACTATCTAGTATCTACCATTGAGTAGAGAATGGATATTTTACTTCTAGTACCAGAAATTACTTCATAAATAGTTAAGCAACAACCACTTCAATTTATAAATGAAGAAATTGGAAATAAACTGAACTTTGATGTAAGTCATTCAGTGATTCAATAGGAGAAAAAATATTTTTAAAAGGACTTCTGGACAGAAAAACAGATTCTTTTGAATATTTCTAAATCTAGCTAGGGTTCTGGCTGACTAGATTTACCAGAAGGGCAGATAGAGGGGAATGGATGGGGGTGCTGACAGCACAGTGGACAATGGCAGGGATGGCAGAGTATGGAGGCTCTAGTGGGAGAGGAAGGCTGTCTACCTGACGAGTTTGTATTCATGCTCAGATGCTGAGGAGCTCAGAAGGTGGGCGACTGTGACCAGTGATAGTCATGTATATAGAGATTAGAAATGTATGTGAAAATGTCTCCATGTCAATTGCCTTGGAATCAATTTTTCTGTATGCATCTA